AGCACAGGAATGTTCAGCAGCTCACAAACCTCGGCCGCTTCGGTAGCTAATGGTTCACTGATCCCAAGATCTCATCCCTCCCCCCCCGTGGCTTGAAAGAAGCCAGGGTATCGGCTTCACCAACGTGGGGGAGCAGCCTGTTCCACACTCCCACCCCTGTTTGTGTAAAGTCGTGCCTCCTGTTCTTGATTTTTAAATGCTCTTCCATGTGGTTTCCCTTTGTGTCCTCTGTCAGTGTTCTGTTCATCATTCTGAAGAAATATGCTGGGTAGTCAGTGCCTTTGAGGCACTAACTAATAATCGCATCACATTCCATTTCTTTAGGTTAGTCCAGCCTAGGACTTAGCATTTTTAGTTAGTCCAGCCTAGGATTTAGCATTTTTGCACCGGTGGATAAGATTGAATGATATTTAATATGATTTTCTAGTTATAATAACCCTGACTGGTGAACTGATAAAATTATCCTCCAATACAAAGGGCACTATTGCAGAAGTTCTCCAGCTTCCTGAGATGCACCTCTACAATCTCACCAGCAGAGAGGGCTGTGAAAACACCTATTCTCTTGCAAATAGAGCTGCTGCTATACAGGGTAGCCAGCCCTGGTGCTGCAGGAATTATTGACCTGCAAAGAATTGGAACACATGGGTGTTGTTCAATTCAAATCTCTAAACAGTTGAAATAAATGTCTGATGTGTGAACCCAAATGAGGTTCCAAAAGTGTGAAAACGTACAAATTAAGGGTGATCGATGAAACCTCCAGGACCAGTGATTTAAATATTCCATCTCTCTCCGTGCATACATTCTCTGTGTGCCTGCATAAGCAAATCATTCTTGCAAACTTAAAGCATTGAACTGTGTTCTTTATACAGAGGTGGGAATAGTTGTAAGCTGGCCCTTCTTCCCTTGACTTGAGTTCGCTTGACCTTGACGGTCTGCCTGTGTCTGCGGCAGGTTTGTGTGCATCTACAGCGGGCCCTGTCACACCTACAAGCTGCAGCGGCTTGGCGAGGCCACGGTCTACCACTTCCGCATCCAGGCCCAGAGCGAGGCAGGGGTCGGCCCCCTGTCCCCCGTCTACAGCTTCAGAACCGCCAAGTCGCCCCCTGCACAGCTCAGAGGTGAGAGACGCTGCCACTACTGCCTCACTGGAGGAGAGAGGAGTGCCGCCCCCAAACCCCCCCCCCGTCGCCCCCTGCTGGTCACTCGGCAGATGGTCTGTATCGGCGGCCTCGTGCAGAGTCGCGAGTTCAGCGCACTCGCTCCTCTTGGCCTCCATCGCGGCCAGCGAGGAAGCTGAAGATCGAGGGAGTGTATCGGCCGCCCCACCTGGGGACGTGGCTGGTTGGCACTGACGGTGTTTCCTCTTCCACAGCGCCCAAGGTGCAGCACCTGGATGGCAGCCTGTGTGAGGTCACGTGGGAGGGCCTGCCGCCGATGAGAGGGGACCCCATCGTGTACGCCCTGCAGCTGACCCGGGGCCGCGAGGCCGAGCAGGTACAGTGTGTGTCTGGGGCCCCGTGTGGGCTGATGGGGAGCAGGGCTTGCAATGGAATCGAAAATGAGAACGCGTCGCGCTTATCCACGCTCTCTAGCCCTGGGTTGATTCCAGGCTGCAGAGTCTTCTGTGAGGAGTTTGCATGTTCCCTCCCGCCGTCTACAGATCTGTTGCCGGCGCGGGTGGCCTTGCGGGGGCGCTCAAACCCACTGGGCTTGACCTGGGGACAAGATCAGGGTGGGAGTTGTCAGAAATGAATGGAAGGAAGGGTGTGTACTTTGCAATTGGCAACCGTACGGGTCCCCTGGCCCTGACTCCTGTGCGCGAGGGCATGGAGTGTTGACGTTCCTCCCAGGCGCGCCCCCAGAGCCGTTTGCAGGCTGGTTTGGCGCCATGGGCGGAAACTGGAGCACTTCCTGTGTGTCTTGGGCCGACGCCCTGTGTTCTCTCCGCGCAGCTCTACAAGGGCCCGGACAGCTCCTTCCTGTGGCGGGGGGCGGCGGCCGGCGGGGAGTACCGTCTGCGCGTGTGCGCGGCCCGGCGGTGCCAGGACAGCGGCGAGCCGTTGGAGCTGTGGGGCCAGTACAGCCCCGGCACGCTCTTCTCCTGCCCCGAGCCTGCGGGGGTCCCCCCGGGGCGCCCGGCCACCGCGGCGGGGAGGGGGCCGCCGGCCAGGGGGGCGCCCCTGAGCGACGAGCAGTTCGCCCTGCTCCTGCTGCTGGGCTTCGCCGTCGTGGCCGTCCTGTTCGCGGTGGTCATCCAGTACTTTGTCATCAAGTAAGTCCTGCCCTGGCCTGCGGGGGGCAGCGTGGAGCCAGGCGGGGAGGTGGCGGCTGAGGAAGCGAGCGCGCAGAGACCCCCCCACGCCAGCACACAGCCTCATGCACGCACAAGGAGGATCTGCTCTCGAACCCTCTGTGTAATGGTTTTATTATTCTGAGTCGTTTTATTTTGCAGATTATTGTATTTTTTATAGGAAAAGGTACTTTTTCACATCTTCTTTTCCCTCCTATCCAAGACCGATGAGAACTGTGTGGTCTGGGAGGTGGAGCCAGCTGCCTTAAATACACGGTGGTGCTGGGGGGGCTGGAGGGGTCAGTGTGAGATTCTGGCCCCCAGCTTTGGGGTGACCGCCTAAAAGTGTACTGTCAAACGATCTGGAAGTTATCTGCGCGTGGGTGGGGTGTGAGCCTGTGCATATTTGACTTTTATAAAGTGGAGGGAAAAGCATTCCACATTGAAAAGCTTTATATTCTGTGTGCTCTGACACAGGGTCTGTGAATCTCCCACCTTTTTTATTCGTGCATATACAGTATATATATATTATTTATATATGTGTATAAATTAATTACAAATATAAATAAGGGAGAAGGTGCCAAAGTTTTATAGATTCTCAGAGAAGACTTATCTCCCCTACAAGGACTGGGGCGGAGTAGGTGCTCTCTGTCACTTTTAAGTACGTGCTTGTTTTCAGCAACCCAGCAACCCAGAAGCTACAGACTCCCAGAAATCAGGAGTTACTTGGCTGAGACACTGTCTTGAGCACAGAATGTTCTCTACGTGCATATCTGAAAGAAAATGAGCATCTTAACTGTCATTAAGAGACAAGGTTTTTTCTTCGCATTTGTTTTGCTATACCCAGCATGTATATATATATATTTATATATATACATATGCAGAATATATCAAAATGCATTTGTTAAAAATGTTTCACTATTTGGCTCAAACTGAGCAACCTAAAGTTTGTTTTCTGATGTTTTTATCTTTTTAAGTATTCGTTGATCCGTACATTTGTATGTATACGGACTGATGCGGAAATTTTAATATTTTAAGATTGTTCCTTGTGTCCGTTTCCCCTGAGCAGTGTTCTCTGGTTGTAATGAACACATTACAAACTGTGCTGTACCATGCACCAGACAGAGCCCCAGTTGCAGATAAATGTGTTTCATCACGAGCGTTTCTTAAATTACCAGGGTAATCTCCACACACCTTCCCCTGAGTGAGAGCTGCCCACAGCATGACCATGTCCTGGAGAGAGTGTGTAATTCCTCAGTTGAAAAGCATGTGGAAGAAAACATTATACCTGGGACAAGTTCTAGTTTAATCTTTCATTTGACGTAGAATAGTTTAAGGGCAGCACAGTAGGCCGCATGACTGCCTTGCAGCGCTGGGGCCCTGGGTTCAATTCCAGAGCTGGGATGCTGTGGGAGAGCTGTCTGTGTGGAGTTTGCATGTTCTCCCCAAGCGATGTGCCCCAGTTTCCTACTGCAGTCCAAAGACATACTGGTAGGTTAAGAGGAATCTGGGAAAGTTGGAAGTTGGTCCTGGTGGGAGTGTCCATGTGTGTGGCTTCTACTCCCCATCCCCCGAATAGGATGAAGAGATTAGAAAATGAATGGATGGATGGGTGGATGGAATAATGTTGTGTTTTAATGAGGCAAACAAGGCTTGAATAGTATTTAAAGACCTTGATCCATCCATCACCTTTCAGATCTGGTGAGTCCTCGGAGGGGTGTTGTGAGGCAGGTCCTAACCTAAACCAGCGCGGGCTACAGGTCTCTAGCTCAGGCACCAGCCAGTCTACTGCACACACAGACATACACCAGGCCATTTAGCAACAAGAAGTAACATAGCATGTTACTGCATAGCAAGCCATCGGCCTGTGGGAGGAAACTGGTGTACATGGGGGTACACGCAGTCTCCAGACAGACAGTGCGCCAGGTCAGACTTGAACGCATGCCCCACAGCATGTTGAGGCTGTCTGAGTTTCTTGCCTCTTGAGTTTCAGGCGACCGAGGATCTAAGAAAACCTGAAAACATGGGACTGTGGGTCTTGGATCTTTGCTGTAGAATATCTCAGGAGCTTCAGAACCATTGTGAAGAAGACGATAGAGACTGAAACATTGTATTAGGTTCCACTTTTTCTTCACACTCCGCAAATGCTACGTCATTTTTTTTCCTATTCCTATTCCTATTCCAGTGCTGGGAAGACCACATTCAAGACATACCACATCACCCAGAGTGGGTGTACTCTCTTAATAACTGATCAAAATCGGCAACATAAATATCCTTGAAGGAGGACTTAAGCAAAAAAAAAAAATCGGATATATTTCAGAAACATTTTTACATTTTGTTTTGCACGAGTCTTTTTGTTCCAATGAGTTGAATTGAAAAGTACAATTGGTAGGCTTCTAATTCAAATTATAATCTTAAATTGGGTACTGCCACTTTGAGGAAAAAGACCCAAACTGTTTTAATTAAAGTTCTCTTCAATTTTTCAATTCAATTTTGTGTAAAGCATTTTCATAAATATCTAAATGGTCTAGCTTTTTACACAAGAAGCTAAAACGGCAGTATTTATAGTTCCATGCTTATATTAATTCACCTCTCGGAGAACGCCTGCCGGCAATTTGTTCTTAAAAAGACTACTTTCTGAAACAAACCGCGGGTACATTTTAGTGCTCGGCTGCTCTCAATTAAGAGCACAATGTTGAGTAATCCCAGTGTTTATAAACCTGACAGGACTGGAAAAAACACCACTTGGAAACATTTAAGCCAAAGTCTGCTCAACATCCTAAATCTGTTCTGCCACTGACTCAACGGGTGTTATTTGGGCTTAGATCTTAACTGAGAGAGTAATACTTAGCATAGATCTTTTTTTCTTATTTAATTGAACTCTCACTGATTGTACCTGGTTTTAGAGTGATGTAATTGCAGAAATAATAGATTACCATCCAAGAAAACATTATTTCTGGGCTGATGCTCCGTTTTCAGATGTAGTTTGCAACTTTTTAAGGGATCGCTTCCCTCACACCAGTTAGAGTCTGGCAACTGCCTAAGCCTAAAGTAGTCTTAGACAAAGCGCTAACTTAAGACAAGGTACGTCTGGGACTGTACTGTCGTAACTGAAGCGTTGACTTTCAATCTCGATGAAGAGAGAGGGGGAGAGAGCCGAGTGTGCGACATGCCAATCACTTGACCGTTTTGGGATTTAAAAATGACTCTCCTCGGTGAGAGCAATCGCATTGAATTCCCCTAGTTAAGTTTTTATATTGTCACTTTCAAAAAATATATTTTAAGCATATCTTAAGTTTGTTTGCAGGTTTGACAGTAACGCTGTAATCTTTAGCTGTATTATCATGCTGATTAAGAGCGTATGCAAGCATAGTAAGCTAGCCACAGAGTAAAAACCTGTTTTGTGCAACAACCTGATCTTTATGGCATTTCTACACTGTTTACAAGTCCCTGTTCTGTGCATCTGCCTTAATCAGACAACTAGTATAAAATTTGGCTCCTCAGTTTAGCAGTAGACAAGCTGGATGTTAGGTGCAAACACTCATTCCAAAGATGTTTATCCGGTAGTGTCTTCTCGTTGTATTTTATGTGTCAAGACTGTTTTCTTTTTTGTTTTACAATTACAGGGGCATACCTATTGAATGTGCACACACAATACAGAATCACTCATTCACATGCGAACATCCAGAAACCTGCTTTTACTTAACCACCAGCATCTTTAAGCATGAGCACACAAACACATACACAGCTTGGATTCATCACGCTGGAAGCACACTGGAGAATGGTCGGACTCTCTTTGCACAATTAATCAGGGGTCCAACAACAGGGCAAAAAAATATATAGGGTCTCCTGTAGGGTGCCCAGCTGGGCATGAAGCTAAAGACAGTGCACAGCTCACAGCATTCAGACTGCTGAAAACAGAGCCCTGCAAGGGAGGACTGGATTGTGGACTCCAATCCTTTGCTCAGAAGAGGGTTTTCGAACTCCGGTGATGGTGTGGCTCTTTTCCGCATGATTGCGGTGATGACTACCCCACTTTCTGTGGAAATAGCTTTGATTTGATGTGTAGCTGTCACAGTGGTGGGGAGGGTCCCACAGCCTGGGATCATTCTTTACTTCACGCCACGCAAGATCAGAGAGTTTGGTGCCAGGTTACCCGAAGCTGCTAATTAATATTTCAGTTACCTGGTGCTTCTTCTAGATTTCACAAGATGTCAAATTCAGACCCGTGAGGAACATGGACGCAGTGCCTGTTCAATGATTTTTTTTTTGTTCGCATCCTGAAGGTTATGGTGACTAGGTTTCCTAGTAGCACAGTGAAGACTTCTCATGGATGGTTCCTGGTACTGAGTAGTGTTGAGCTGTCATCATCCAGAGCTTCCAGACAAAGTCGCGGGGTCGGACCGCAACCTGCGGCCTGCTTGCTCTTTTACTTTATAGAGTAAGGCCAGTATTCCGTCTAGTCCACAGTCTCCGGAGTTGTTAAATATAGAAGCCGGAGTTAATGCTCTGACAAACAGGGCCAGTCATGCCTTAATCTGCCTCGTTTCTATCCCCGCTGTGCCCTGAGCTGAAACCATGGCGACCACTGAAAAGTCGCCCTGCAGAGCTGGTCAGCTTCTGGTTTTTCTTTTCTTGTGTACATCTCCCCCCCCCATCACCACCACCCACTGGGCTGTTTACCATCTGGCACGTTTGCAATCTCTGCGGCGCCACACAGGTGTCTCGGCCCCGACTGGTGGAAGAGAATTGCGGCGCTCGCTGATGTCGCAGCAGGCTAGCAAAGTTGCAGGGGCTGCTGGGAGCCGAGAGCACCCTGGCCAACTAATCCCACCCCATTGGTACCTCTGCTGTGGAATCCTGGTGACAGTCCCCTGTCGACGGTTGCCTGGCGACAGGATCCATGCCCATTCTCAACAGGTTGAGATCATGGAGACGAATGCTTTGAGCAAACTCCTTAAGTAGTTATTGCCAATTGTAATTGATCTAGAGAGGAGGGGAGTTAGTGAGGGTCAATAGTCTGAGTCCTTTTTGATATCCAAGTGTTGCCATGGCGTTGTCTGGGAAGCTGTTTCAAGGCCCAGCTGTGGGACCGTCAGAAATTGCCTTTTTCTGTTCTGCGCTTTACAAACTCCTCCTTTGTAGCAATCCATAGTTTTTGAGGTGGCACTTTGATGGCATTTCTCGATATGTATCATACATTCCAAAACCATTGTTCTGTATCAGCATTGTCATAAAGGTTGTGTTTCTTGTTTGTATGTTTGAGTACTTCTTGAGGTATTTCATAAAGTTGTGTTAAACTACCATGTATTATGTAACACTAAATTGTAACTATCATAGATAATATATTTAATATGGCAAATAAATTACAGTCCTTATAAATTTGAATTGTTCCCTTCTTTCTCTAGCATTATTTCACAAAATCAGGGCAGAAAATGAAAAAAGCTAATTAAGGTACAATCAATTGTTTGTGTTGACCGCATCTCTCATCCTGGTTATCCAGATACTGCATTGGTGGTGGTGACTGGCATTTACAAAGCATATGTCCCTCAAGTGCTGTGTTGTTTTTTTTTTCATTTTCACCTCCAGCCCTATTCAAAGGTTCTTTAATAAAGGTCTTCCCAACAAACCAACACTGCAGACAGGTGTTTTAAAAGGAGTGGCCGGCGCGTCTCAGACTGGTCTTGTCTGCCTTACTTGGCCAGCTCGCTGAGCAGACTGGCTCCCAGAAGGATTTCCTGCGTGGGAGCCTGTACTTTTTTGCTGTTTGGTTTAGTTACTTTTAGTTCAATTACTTTTGAATTGAAACGGTCGCTGTTTGGGGGGGACACCGAGCTTGTGAAGAGTATGTCTGCCGCTTGATCTCCATTCAAGCATTGTTACTGCTCTGCAAGAACGAGCCGGATTCGCTGCAGCGTGCCGAAATGTCCAGCGGCTCTGCAGCCCCCGTCCCTGCCCCATCACACACACGTGCTGGCGTCCGTGTCGCCGGG